ACTCTGCTTCAAAATCTTCCCCTTTCCCAGACTCTGCAAGAAACAACTGTGCAGACCCACTGAATTAGCCAGTTTTTAAATTTGTTTGATTACTATCCTGCAGATAAGGGACAGGCTGAATCAACACCATTCACAAAACTTAATTTGGCTACTCCCTGTATTATTTAAAGCACTATTCTTTTCCCAAGTGCAATACTAGTAGCCACAATCTCTAAAACTCTCTGTGAGAAGATATCGTTGGAGAAAAAAACTTACAGTGCCAAAAATATGGAAAACCTAGAAGTGAAGTGTAGTTCCTAGGAGGAAGGTTTTTGTATTTGAATTTGCTGGAATAAAACATCACTTCGAATGGAAGTACATTAAAAGTATTGATAGTTCCTTAAACACACATTAAAGCACATTTAATTATGCCAACATCATTTACGTTGAGGCTGCTTAAAGAAGCCATCTCTGAAAGACAAAGGAATGTTCCATAAGGCTGGCGTTCCTTCTCCTGAGACTGCAGTCAAAGTGACATCACTGTCATGAAATCAATGCTTGCAAAATTAGCAAATCAATGCCTTAAATGCTTAGGGCTTGATGGAATTATCCCATAAATATAAGAAGCAGTTTTTTTTATTAATCCTTTTACAGTTCATTTCATAAACCAGTTCTATTGTATTTTTCCTACTGAATATTTGCTAAAGATATTCTTACACTGTGAATTCATTTACAGGTACATATCAAAACTTACTGCAAAAATAACTAATTATACATTTATACCTCCCGTGACCCCCCCCCAATGTCATTTTCATCATGTCATTATTATCATTATCTTACATGTAAGGTAACTGAGACTGAAGGCATTTACGTGACCCACACATGCTCAGAACACCCAGTCTCAGGCTTTTCTCAGTATCGTTTCTCTGCTAGAAGTAGGCTTTGCTATAATATCTACTATTTGTAGCTCACGGGTCGCTACCAACAGCCCAGGCTAGGGAAACCACAGAGAAGTTCTCTGGTTTTTGGTTGTTCTTTTTTTTAAATAGGTGTTGTTTGAAACCATTCAATCTATTGTACGGTGTTTTCTTACTTTCTGGAGAACAAAGTGGAAAATTAGGTATTAAGAAGCAGGTGGAGTAGGAGATGATCGACTATTTCTTTAAAATTTCATTTCACCTGTTAGGCTATAAAAACTTCTTGTAATTACCCCCAAAATATTAACAAAGGGTTTGGGGGACATTAAGTGATTAAAATCAGTGCCATTCTTAAGAGCTTAACAAAAACTAGGAGGAGGACTTATCCCAAAGCATTACATATTATTTAATTTACAAAATATTCACTGGTGATGCCAATACGAGCACAATGTTTGAATACTCTGGGAAGATGGCAGCATGGTTTTGGCATCTTCCCAAGTCCCTCCATAAAAACACAGAGCAAGCAGATAACAAAACCAACACCCAGGAGCAGCATTTACACAAAACTAGGTGATAGTCCCCAAATGCAAGCCAGTGGAGAAACCTCACCAACAGCAAGGGAACCCGTGTGTTCCCTGCCTCTGTGGGGAAAAATCACAAGGCATCAAGGAGGCGCCTCACCGACCTGGGAAGAGCAAGCCACCACGAGCGCAGCAGCAGAAACTGGGAGAGGTATTGCCCTCTCCAACAGCAGGGGACTGTACGGACCTGGAATAGAGAGGTGGGAAGGGGCCAGAGCAGCCTAGACCCCAACTGTCTAAGAAACCAAACAGAGAGGACAGGGCTCCTTTCCAAGACAGGCCACACATTGAGGAGAAATTTTAAGGACTAGAATCAAATCTAAGCGGGATAGAAATAAGGGACAGAAGAATGAGAAAGGCCAAATAAAAGCAGACCAGAAAAATCTCAGAAAGCAAGCTACCATGTTTCAGAACACTACCTGAAAATGACAGAAGGTGGAGCTCTGTGAAGTTAGAACAGATAGATGAACCCAGCTGTTGGAAGAATCTAACACTTACCTATACAGTCTTGCCACAAGGTTCAAGCCTGAATCTAATCACACTTCAGGATCCAGCAGCCAATTTGCATGGAATTCAGAGGAGGAGAGGTATGTTGAACTGCACCGTAAGGGTACAATCAGCAAATCTACACTGTTGAAAGATACAGGTCAAAGGGCAGGCTTCTTTAACAGATATCAATACACTGATAAGGACAAGAAAAGGATGGAGGGGGATCACAAAAAACTTAAACGATATTTCAAGTTTTTAAACCTTGGAAGACTAAGCTAGAGTGTCTAGAGATGCACACTTGAATGAATAAAACCATAAAGAAAGACTTGGGTCCTGGACTGTTTCCTCCTAGAAAGAACAGAGGAGGCCTACCCATCATCAGAATAAGCAAAAACATGAGCCTCAGGGACCAGTAACAAAGCCTGGAATGTGCACACTTATGGCAGGACCTTGAGCAGCCTGTCTCAGACCATGAGGCAATCTTGAAGGCGGAAGCCAGCACTAAGACAATGCAGTGAAAGGCACCAAACCGAGTAGAGCATGATGAGGCCTGAGTCTCTCTTCTAGGCTCCAGAGCAAAACAAAGTTCCTGGGCTCAGAGTTGCTTTCCAGAGAGTAAGATGGACAATAAACAAACCAGGAAATACATAATATAAAAGATGCAATGAATAAAAATGAATTAGGATATGGACTACAGAGAATAATTGGGGTATCTTTTTTATGTTGGTCAGTCACGGGAAGTCTCTCTGATGACATAGCCAAATGGCTACTACAGTTCTGAGTCTCAAATTGTATGTCATTAGGTATTTATCTCAGAGAAATGAAAACATGTATCTACAGGAAAATATGCATAAAGCATTAACCACAATAGCCAAACCAGGAAACCACCCAAATGTCCTTCCGTAGTGAATGGCTAAACACACTGTGGCACACCATATCATGGAATACTTCTTAGCAATAAAAAGGAATGAACTATTGAGCTGGAACACAACAACTTAGATGAATCTCAAGGGAACTGTGCTAAGTGGAAAAAGTCAATCTCAAAAGGTTACATTCTGCATGATTCTACTCATAACATTCTTGAAATGACAAAATTATAAAGATAAATAACAGACTAGTGTTTGTCCTGGTATAGGAACAAAAGCAAAGGAGGTGACTATAAAAGGACGGCATCAGGGATCATCCTTGTGATGGAACTGTATCTTGACTGTGGTACTGGTCACATGTGATTCTACACATATGATAAAAATTGCATAGAACTAAATACACACACACACACACACACACACACACACAGAGTGCATACAAAAACGAGTGAAACCTGAATAGGGTTAGTGGATTACATCAATGTCAATTTTCCAGTTGTGATCTTATGGTGTCCTTATGCAAGAATGTTACCATTGGAGGAAAATGGGCGAAGAGTATACTGAGTTTCTATTATTTCTTACAACTATATGTGACTCTATAATAATCCCAAAGGATTATCTTTTAATAATAATAAGATTAAACTATTAATAAGAAGTTTAAAAACATTTTTTTTCTGCAAAAGAAAAAAGGAAAGAAAAGGCAGGCAAGGAAGTGAGTATTAGAAAAGCTGGGATAGTGGTTACCTTTAGGGAAGGAGGGGACTGTGACTGGGATGGGACACACATGTAATAATAAATCACTTAATTCACTAAACTTTACTGTGTTTTATAATACAAAAGTTGTTTGTTTGTTTTTTAAAGGGGCAACATGACCAATAATGCTAGAGACAGAGATGGATGAAACCTGCTTTTTCAAGAGAGGTTAAGGCTCTCAGTTTAAGATTTTGGCATTAGGTCAAAATACTGTTCCTTTCCCTTAGCAAAATATGTCTGCGACCATTAAAATGATCAATTTAGCAAGGCACGTTAAACAGAACAATTCCTTTTAACAGCAGCATATTTCTTTAATATGCTCTGGCTGCCAAAATTATGAGATCACGGGAGGAGTTATCCTCAGCCAAAAGCCCATGAGGAAGAATGAGTAAATGTTTAAAAGATACAATTCAGGAATTAATTTGTGTTTATGTAAAATAATTTTTATTAATAAAGGCTTCCAAACAATGTTTCTAAATCTGGCTCAGTCCACAGAAAATGAAGAGGGAAATAAAAGCAGAGGGGCTCTCGCAGCCCCCCACCTGAGGTGTGGGCGATGGCCACCTGACAGGGGTGGCCCCTGCCCAGCGCAGGGCCTAGTTCAGCGCTCCCCATCTGTGCTGCCCTAACCTTTTCAACGCATTCTGAGCTAGGGTTAAAAATTGACCCAATCAATAATTATATTTTAAGACTAAGAAGAACGTAATCCAAAACAAGAAGCTGTATATTAAAAAAGTACCCCAAAGCCTTGTCTCATACATAACCTACTTTTGGAATCCAAATGAGGAAATATAAAGAACTTACTTTAAAAACCTTTCAAAATGTTTGGAGAGCTGCATAAAAAGGAATTTCTTAACCAGGGTCCCCTAGACAGAACACACCTTCTGACATTAGCTTAGAAAGAAGCACTTGCAACAACTCTTTACTATCTCTTCATATCTGTTACATACTGCTTTTTATCCTTTATATTCCTTTGGGGTCTTTATTTCATTGTAATATATAATTCTTGGTAGCAGTTTTTTTTCTCCTTTTTTTTCTGGGGTGGGAGGATGGTTCACGTGGTCCAATGGTATTCACTGAATTACTGGAAAGTCATGTCAGTTTCTCTAAAATCTTCCCATGGAACCCTCAATAAGCATGTACAAACACAGTTATAACAAAAGAAGAAAAAGGACAACCTCTTGATATACGGGCTTATAAAAGGCTTATCTGCTGTTAAACTTTATTGTCACTAAATCCTGCATAATCCAATGGACAAAACCACTCTGATTTTGTGCTTTTTAAGGGCGCGCGCGCTCTCTCTCTCGCTCTCTCTCTCTCTCTCTCTCTCTCTCTCTCTCTCTCGCTCTCTCTCTCTCTGAACGCAGTAGATGAGTCTTGCCGGCTTGCCTGCATGCCACACCCTGGGAGCTTACCATAACCGTGCAGTCCTCTGACCCGCTGGCAATGACCTGATCGTTATGTGGGCACCAATCTATGTCAAGCACTGGTCCTGTGTGGCCACACACTGTAGGGTAGGATTTGTCAATTCGACCAGTCTGAAAGTAGAGAGAAACAATTATGTAACATCAACGCCACAGAGTTCGTGTTTTCTCAGATCCATTTCTCCTTTATTACCTCCACCCGAAAGTCTCCCTTCATATCAGTTAATGTCAACCAGTAAGAACGGTTAACTTAAATTTTTAAAAATAGTTACTACGGGTGACACTCCACCAAATTAAGAATCCAAATTTCTTGTATCACAAAGAGTTTATTTAATCAACTCCATTAATAAACACAGCAAGAGAATACAAAAGACTCTTACCAAAATATTTTTCTATGATAACCAAATTATAAATTGTATGTGTTTCTACTATTAAAAAAAACTTGGTTATTATTCAAAATGCAAAATATAACTTTTAACCCCCCTCCCACCTTCTTGTCTCCCTAAAATCAATTAATTTTTTTTTAAAATTTAAAATGCTTTAGCTATTGCTTAGGGGCTAAAGGACACACTACATTTTAATGTCTCAGTCTCTCTATCTTCAGTCAACAGAAATGTCAGCGGGACAGTATAATTAAATTAATGTCAACTTAGACCTCATCCATTATATAGCTCCACATCTCACTAAGTAAGAATACAGTTTTTAATGTTGGTCATAAGTTACCATCATAATTGGCTCATTTTTTAAAGATATTTCAGTTTTACTTATTTATCTACCTACCTACCTATATGTTACAATTTGCTCGTGATACACATTTGGACTAAAGAAGCTGATCTGGCTTAGACCAATTTTGTGTTAACCAGGATAGATGCTGTTATAACAACAGCTGTTCAAAAGCTACTTCCTTTTTCAAACAGGTTAATGTCAGTCCATGCTGAGGTACCACATGCTCTTAACAGCAGGCGAACAAAAAGGATCCACTGCAACACAAACTGAACCCCCGTTTGTTGTTGTTGTTCTCCTGTTATGGCAAGACAGCACAACACTGGGGCAGGGTTCTGGGCAATATTTCAAGACCAATAAATTCTATGATTTTGCCACTTTAACTTGGCTGTGGAAATCCCCAGAGAATCAGTATGCTAAAGTACACAGACCATCAGCTCCAGAGTCAAAGAGACAGGGTTCTAATGCAGGTTCTACTGCTTACACAGTGAGTAACGTTAGGCACGTCATGTAATCTCCCTGAGCTTCAGATCATCACCTGTAAAATGAGTAACAATCACACTTATTTCCCAGGGCTACTGTGAGGATTAAATGAGATAATCTTTTTAGGTAAGTCATAACTTAGTATTACAATCACCTGTACAAGGGAATGTAAAAAATCTAATTCTAGGACCTAGAATATAGTAAATACTCAATAAAAAACTACTGTCACTTATTATTAGTTCTTTGAGCACAGTATGTTTATTTACCCCACCCTTAAGAATTACAAACATGTGTTATTTTTGCACTTGAAGGGACCAGATGGTGGGCTGAGTGTTGGAGATAGAGAAGTGAACAGGACAGCCCTATCCTGGCTGAGCAGGGAGTCCAGAAAGAGGAGAGAGGACATTTAAACCAATAATTACAGTGTAGCCTGAGACGTGCTCCACCAGGACAGGCACAAGGGTGGCACAAGGGACACACACAGAACGGCACTGAAGCAGGGTGTCAGTCCTTGGGGAGGCTTCCCACAGAGGAAGGTTAGTTCTAAGTTTAGGTGTGGAGATGGGTAGACCTGTCTACAGATCTATGGTCTGAGTTTTTTCACATGCTTTCCCCTGCTTTCTCTTGCAAAACTAATTAAATCCACTTCAGATCTTCTGAACTACATCTCCCAAAAAGGAATTCAGATAAGAAAATGTCAATGAGCAAGCAGAATATTATACAGAAGCTGGGTGTTACAAGAGGAGCCACACAGCTCGTACACAGCAAAGCACCAACAGCTGACAGCCAGGCCGCCCGGGCTAGAGTTGTGGCGCTGGCATTTCCTAGCTCTGTGAAATTACTTCATCTCTCAACCTCAGTTCCTCACCTGTGGAATGAGAACTTCACTGTATAGTTCAGTCTTTAAGAGCTGATGTGAGGATTAACTGAGACGACAAGGTCAATTTATTTGGTACTGTCCCAGGACTTGCAGTGCTTAATCAATGTGACCCAGAATTTAACAACTGCCGGAACCCACTCTCCCACAACCCTGACAGTCTCCTTCCTCAACAAAGGAACTGCCACCTAAGCACCTGAGCTAGGTGGTGTTACCTCACTCCCGTATCACATCCTCGCCGATACCACGCCAGTGCCCCACCCCTGGGGCTGCTGCCCCAGGTAATGTTCTAGTGCTCCTGCTGCTGCTGGTGGATTCACAGGTGTCACTTTATAATAGTACTATTAATATATTACTATATCATGTTACTATTGTTATTATTTAATCTATAAATACTCTTTTGAATGTGTGGCATTTCATAATTTAAAACATTCTGAGACAGGAAGGCCAAGATGAGATCTGACGCACATTTAAATGTACATTCCAGGGAGACAGAATAAAGAGAATGGAAACTGAAGAGATAATGGCTCAGAATTTTCCAGGTTCAATTAAAGGCATAAATCTTCAGATTCAAGGGGCACAAGTCCCAAGTATAGTAAGTAAAAATAAATGCACATCTATTGGCATCCTAATGCAATTTAGAACACCAAAAACAAAGATAAAGTCTCAAGAGCAGCCGTAGAGGAAAGACAGATTACCTACAGAGAAGATAATTAGACTATCTGTGGGCAGATTTCTCAAAAGCAATTACAGAAACAAAGACCCGGAGGGGATGTAAAAATATACACCGGGTAGTTATACTAGAACAAACAGACTTTAAAGTAAAATGCATTATTAAAGATTAATGTCACATTTTAACATTTAAAGAAACAATTCTCAGGGAAGCTACAGTTACTCTAAACTTTAAACTCATCTAACTACATAGCTTCAAAATTGTTAAAGTTAAAACAGACAAAATGCGGACTAAGAAATGTCCAAACCCGTAGAGAATTTTTATGAGTTTATTTTAGCCAAATTGACGACATGTCAGAAAGCAAGATCTCAAATGCTCCAGAGAATGCCAGGTTTGCATCTTTTATACATTTGGAATTAAGGAGGGAACATAAGGAACATTACTTGAATATGGGAGAAAGCCAGGCAGGGCAATCTCTATGACTGGATTACAGGGTAGTTAACAAGATCATGTTAATCATATGGTTTGTGCTTCTGAGGGGTCTGAAAAAGAGACACTTAAAATGTGTTAACGGAGATGCACAGAAACAATGGACGGGGCTTGCATAAGGAAAATATATCTTTTTACCAGGGAAGTTACAGACCTGAGGCATGACTACCCACCACGATCTGCTCAGTTAGGAATTATGACCACATCACCCTGTGAGATTATCTTTGGTTAGATTTATTAGCCCCTTTTTTCTCCACAAGCACTATACGGAGGACTTAGAAATTAAGAGATTTTAATAAATATTTAAGAGATCAAGCAGACAGACAAAATTAATATAAATATAGAAGACGGACAAGAGTAACAAGCTTGATCTAATGAACATACACAACCCTGTAGCCAACATTTAAAATACATGTATGTTTCAAGCAAACATTAAACATTTTTTTAATGATTAGGACACCACAAAACTGAAAAAATACCAAGGAAACAATATCCTGTAGAGCATGTTCTGAGTCTAATGCAATATAACTAAAAACAAAAATATAAACCAAAAATCTCTGATGATTCTAAAAAATTTTAAATACAATAAATAATACACACAGAAAATGTTAATAGCCAACAGATGTTTAAACTGATAATAAACAAATACATCACTGCGATACTGTGATTTAAAAGATATTTGGCCATCATCCATACTCTTGGTTCATAGCTCCCAAAACCCTTAAAATTTCCTAAGTGTTGAGAGTGATAAAAGTGTCTCTTGTTATGCCAATGAGGTTACTTTGGGATCCCAACCAAGTATGGGGACTAGTCCTCTGGAAACCCAACCATGTGATTAAAGGGTTGGAACTTTCAGTCCCACCCCCTGGCCTGTGAGAAGGAGAGACAGGCTGGAGATTGAGTTCAACTGCCAATGGCCAATGACTCGGTCCGCCATAACTATGCGATGAAGCCCAGGAAGACTGCAGGCTGGTCTCTTGAGGAACACGTTCCATGCCATCATGCCAGGCCCCAAGCTCCACAAGGAGAGAAGCTCCTTTGTTGGGGACCTCACCCTATGTACCTGGCTATTAACTCATATCCTTTAATACCCTTTGTAATAAATCTGTAATCTAGTAAGTAAAGGAGTTTTCCTGAGTTCTGCAAACGATTCTAGCAAATTAATCAAACCCAAGGAAGGGATCCTTGGAATATCTATTTTGTGAGTCAGAAGCACAGGTAACAACCTGGACTTGTGACTAGCATCTGAAGTATGTGTTAGGGGAGGAGGGCAGTCTTGCAGGACTGAACCTTTAACCTGTGGAATGTGATGCTATCTCTGGGAAGATAGTATCAGAATTACATTGAATTCTGAAACATCCTGCTGGTGTCTGAGACTTGCTTGTTGGTGTGAAGAAGCCTTCATACACACACAGAAATTGGGTCTGAGAACCCTTTTCAATGACCTACCAAAACTTGTAGGATATAGCTAAAACAGATCTTAGGGGGAATTTTATAGGCTTAAATGCATAAATGAGAGAAGACTGACAATTAATGAGTTAAATATCTAACCCAAGAAGTTAGAAAACAGAGTAAGCCCAAAGAACATAAAATTATGAGAATTAATGAGAAAGAAAATAATAAAACAAATCAACAAAATTAGATATGGAAGAAAGAAGGTACAAACACCAGGAATAAAAAAAGGGACATAATACAAATATGGTAGAAATTTACATGATCTGAATTAATATACTATGAATAACATTTGATAATAAATTTGAAAACTCCAATAAATAAGCAATCTCCTAGATAAAAATCTAACTTATCAAAACTTTTCAAATAAATAGAAAACCTAAATAGAACTATAACCATAAAGCACCAATTAAGTAT